CACATAGAGACAGAATATTAAAGGATTAAAACCGTTAGGGTTTACCGCCATGTTTTTTAACATGGTTTAAAGATTATGTTGTCACTTGTCAATAATAGGGTTATTTTTCTTTTTTCCTTTTTTAAGTAGATAGTTTTATTTTTTTGAAGTAGATGCCAATATTATTTGGTCTGGATTTCGTGTAGACCAAATCCAGGGTGCCTAAAATTAGTATTATATGCCATGTATGTGGTCCACACGATCTTATATGTTGGGATTTACCTTAACTTTACTAATTTTATTAGTGGTTAAAGTTTTTATAAAATCAAAACCAAATCTCAAAGAGATCTCATTTTGGCTAGAAAAAAGGATAGGCATGTGTTTTGAAATTTACACACAGTATTCGTACGTAGGAGTTAATTTGTGAGATGACTATATTTCTATTTATAACTGGCAGAATAACCCTCCGTCTAAATAAATTAAATTAGGAGATTAACTATTTGGTTAACAACATTAACAAACATGTTTTTTTTCTACCATAATTACTTTGATAAAACGATGTTTACCAATCAAATTTATAGAACCAATTATGTTATCATTAAGTTATTGGTTAATTAAATATATTATTTTACACATTTGGAAGCCCTTGTAAAATGAGAAACGTGAAGACTAAACAAAAAGAGAGTCACTGTCTTACTTAATTATTAGATCATTATCATGGTATTTGAAACCCTACTCGTCTAACTCTTGCCAAAGTCCAGAAATATAACAATGGTCACACATGCCATGTGACCATTTTTAGCCGATGATGTGGACCTTCTTAATATTAAGAAATTATTTGGTTAGTTTCCCAATTCATATCAAACAAGTTTCGTGATATGGGTCTAGACCATTTAAACAAAAACAAAACAGAAAAGTTTCATGATATGGATCACTTTTTATAAAGAAAAGTCTACCTATATTTTCTTCTAATTCTGCACTAACAAATAAAAATAGGGGCTTTTGCAAAAATGCCATTTTTTCAATGCCACTTTTCAAAAATACTTTCTTTTTAAAACCTTAGAAAAAATGTTCTTAAAAATATAAGACTTACCCAAATATGTATGTAATATTATTAAAACATACACAAACTACATTTCTATGTATCTAAAATCTTATAAATACTTTATAAATACCTTATAAATGCATTTTAAATACCTTTAAAAACCTTTAAAATATTTTGTAAAACTTTTGAAAAACCTTAAAAATCCTTAAAAATAACTTATAAAACCTTAGAAATACTTGGATCGAGTCTTCAAGTAGTAGTTACAATCCATAAGTACCTTATAAACCTAATAAAACTTTATAAAAATTTCAGATTTAAAAAAGGGCATTTTTTAAAATTGACATCTAAAAGGAGTATTTTTGAAAAGGTTTACACCAAAAAAGATATTTTTAACAATTTCCCATAAAAATATGCACATATATATGCATATATAGTGTATATATATATATATCTATTATTCTATTAATCATTCTCATTCTCAAAGGTTTGACATGCCCACAACCACAAGCAATCTCACTTGCCATGTCTTTTTTTTGTTTATATGTGTACAGTAGCTAGATGACCCTTAAGTGTGTATGTGTATATATAACTTTATGCTATCTTACGATACACATGTACATATCTATACGTGTTTGTGTATATGAGATCTTATTATATAAAGTATAGTTTTCATCTTATTATATAAAGTATAGTTTTCAAAGTTAATAACTCACGAGATCGTGACACGTGTCAAATATTTCGATCTCAGATTTTGACACATATAAAACAAAAATTTCATTTAAAAAATAAAAAAATAAATGTAAGTAATTATAAATCTAAATAATTTTAAAAATGTAAAAGATAATTATAAGGATAATTTTAAATATTTCTATAAATTATTTAAAAATATCAGTAGATAATAATAAGGAAATTATACGTTTTTATAATCAAAAATATATTTTCAATTAAACAAGAAAAAAATGAAGCAAATTTATTAAAAAGGAAACATATGTTATTATGTTACCAATATGATATATTTTTGTTTCTCATAGTTAGTAAATAATAGTATCAATGTATTATGAACCGTTATCGGTAAAAAAATTTATCATATGTCAAGATTTAATTTAAATTTGATATTATTTAACTATTGAACTGTCGGGGGGACTTGGATCAATCAAATTATAAATATGTGATGATTTAATTAAACTAATCCTCATATTAATTATTTGAGTTTGTTTTTTTAATTAGAAATATGAGAGATCATTTTTTTTTCCTTTTTGTAATATTTTTTTACTTAACTATGTTTTTTGTTTGTCCTCAATTAGGATTGTAGTATAGTTAGATTGTTTATTTCATATTTAAATTATCAAAGATTCATATATCATCGTGTTTATAATTTTTTTATTTTCTTAGTTTAATTATTGTATCTTTAAATTATTTATTTTGGTTTATACATTCAGTTTAAATTATATAAGATTTTATAATATATCATAGTTCTAATGATTTTAGATAGCGACATGTGTCATGATTTAAATTACAAATTTACATTATTTATATCAATTTTATTTTCTAATTAGAAATATGTGATGATTTTAAGTAAAGTTTTATATTGTTTATTTAAAATTCTTGAATATGTAAGAACCATATATGCTTCTTCTTTGTTTTTGATATATTTATACTATTTCAAAATTGTTTATTTAAATTTTTATGTTCATATTTGAATTATATAAGATTTATATATCATCGTGCTTATAATTGGTTGAATTTATCAATTTTTATTGATTGATCATAAAGTCATTGCAATTGAGTATATAGAAATCGAACCCGCAACGTTAGCTTAGAAGGCTAAGGGATTTAGTTGATTTATTATCTTATATTTTTAACGTGTCTTATTAAAAACTCATTTGGTTTCATTCGCCAACTTTATGATGAATATTTTAATTTTAGTTCTTCATATAAGTATATCATGAGTTATTGCTATGTGATATATTCTTCATTCGAAATAATTTTGAAATAATACTTTTATTGGTTAAAAAAACAATGTAACAGTGAAAAAGTAAATATTTTTTTTTTACTTTTGAAAAAAAAATTCTACTTACAATGTTGTTAACTAATTTTTTGTTAAATTTGATTTTAATTTTTAAAAAATTAAATCCGTCCATCTGACGGGTTCTTATCTAGTATCTAATAGTAGCTAACTATTTAAGTATGTACATATATTGTGACCCATTTATATATATTTTTATCTATTCAAATATGTATTTCTTTTCTGCATATTCATGACTCATGAGAAACGAACGTATAGTATTAAAAAGTATAGCGATATGAAGGAGTTCTTATAAAAAGAAAACCCTATATATAAATATTTGTTACACTTTCTGCTGTACCTTTTTATGTGGCACCCAACTTTCTTTAACTAATTCGTGGGGCCTTGCTTATTGCCTTATTGTATATTCCAATTTCAATTGCTTCCCTACAAATTGTATTTCCAGTAAATTTGTTTTTGAGAATTCAGAATTTTTCTAAGTTCTAACTTCTAACTAAGCGTGTTTTCCTTATCTTATCATCAATTTTGGCTAAAGAAGAAATGCTCATAAAAGTTTTGGTCAGGTGGACGTATCTTAAACTTCTCATAAAAAGTCAAATGTTCTAAAACAAGTTGATCAACAAATTCTAGCAATAATAACCCCTAACCATGAAAGACTCATGAAGGATTCATCCAAAAACAAATTCTAACAATAACAACACCTAATGATGATAAAAACTATGAGTTCATCCTTTGTCATTATTCAAACACAATTTGATGGAGTCGAGGCCGAGCCACGTAAATCTAACTGCATGATTTAGCCAACTTCTGGGGTAAAATTATATTGACAGCTACTGTTATATATGGAAATTACATAAGTGTCATTTTTTTTACACTTAGATCAAACTAAATCATGAAGGAGTATATATTCACGCTGCATCACATGGAAACAAGCATTAGAATATAGTCAGGCCGAATTAGAACAGAGATTTCTAATAAGTGGTGTCGTTTATATAAAAAAAAATCAATGAACATTTTCATGGATTTATTGGCATTTGTCTTTAACTATAGTATAAAATTATAAACCAAACAAAAATCATTTATTAGTTTTCCAATTTATGTTTGGACCCAAAAGCTGTCGCGTCAGAATAAAGGACCCACAGTTCCTAAATGTTGCCGCCTGTCCTCCTCACATCCTATGCTTTTATTAATTACACTGTTTTAGTTAATCTCTTCATACAATCTGATCCTATCTTTAATATTCTGTTTTTTGTAATCAGAAGTTAAGGCTTTTGTGACCAATACACATCATCCATTTTCCAATAGAATATGTTACGATTATAATGGATTAAATCATCTGTTAAACTTATTTATAAAAAGAAGATTCGAGGGAGAAATAATAATTGGAGTGATGTGGGAACTAGTCCGTACAAAACATGGACCCCACGAGGTATATAGTACGTACAAAGACGGAAGTAAGTCATTCCGATGTAGTTTTAGTAATTGGTACAAGATTGGGATATAGTTAAACTAGTTACCAAACACTTGGCTAAGAGAGAGTTTGAGAAGATACAGTAGTAACGGGAACAGTTATTGTCTTTAAGAACCAACGAGGAAGGGAATATCTCTCTGGGTTTATTTAACCAGAGGTCAGTTATTTTTTGTCTCTTGCCAATTTAGCTGGCACAATTACGACTTTGTCCCTCTTCCACCAAACATATCAATTTCTTCACATTTCATTCTCTTAAGTTTCCAAAATTCATTAATCTTAAATTAAACATAGGGACACTTCTCTACGACGTCCTGGAACAATGTTTTGCAATGCAAGAAAGTAATTGACCAATGTAGTTTTTTTTTGTTGGAAACCTATAAGACTTCAAAATCATAAAGAGGAGTATAATACCTAGAATATTGAGTACAAGTCTCACTACAAGAAATATGGGCATTGATAGCACCAGAAGATAGCTCATTTTCGCTTACTGCTATTAAAAATGAGTTTGTAATCTTGGTTACTAGATAATAGCATTTATTAAACGCTAAGATAAAAATTCCCTAAGCGGGAATCTAAAATCACCTAGTCCGCCAACACTTAACCAAATTATTCACTTAAGCGGCAAAATAATAGCTTTTTATCGAAAAACTTCTTAGATCTAAAATAATTTCTCTTTTTCTTAAAAAAACCTCTGAGATCTAAAAATCTCATACCCACGAACTGAATCTCGTCCTAGCCAGAGCAATTGTCCCTTCCCTTGCTCTATCCCTCTCTCGTCCTCCCTCTCTGTCATTTTTTTGTGTCTAAAAACTTTGGCGGTTGTACGCAGACCATGTGTTTGATGAAATTACTGCGACGGCGCTGTGGTTGGATTTTGAAAGGGGAACTATGGGTCAGATCTTCAGTTTTCATCAGATCGTTAGCTAAAACGCCGTTTGTTGTCTCCCTCGTTCGTGCGTTCAATTTTCTTCTCAGATCTTCACATCGTTTTGGCTTCATCTCTAAACGTAAGGAAGTGTTGGGGGGGGGGGGGGAAGGAGATGTTCTAATGTCCAAAAATTGCAGTAATACGTTATAAATCTCAAGTTCTAATGTTCTCTCCTTTGTGTTTTGCAGGTTGGGTCTGTGAAGCCTGGAGATTCGACTAGTTCTCCCGAGAATCAATTTCAAGTAGCTCAATCCAGTCCTCTTTCTCAAGGTTAATTCCCTGTTAACTGCTTATAGTTCGTCTCTTAGTTTCACCATGTGGATGAACGAAGATAAACCTGCAGATTTTTTTCTCTGCTCTCATCACAAGTCATTTGATATTAACTTCAGTACACTCATGAATACAATTTTTTTTAATGAACTTATGTTGTTCGACATAATGCCTCAATGAGAATTTTTTTTCTGATTATAGTTGTTTTATGAATTAAACTTATTCGTTTATGAGAAGGAAGCTAAGGCGATGCTAAAGATAGAAAATTTGAGGGTCTTGAAACATATTTTAAAGGCCAACGAAGAAAGGAGTGAAGGTCGCTGCCAAGAAAAAGATGGTATGACCTAGATGATTTGTTTTTTTTTTTTCTAATTTGTAGTAAGTTTTCGAACATTCAATTATTGTGTGTTTCTATTTTAAATGTTGAGTTTTTTTTTTCCTGTGCTTTGCTTGATTTTGATGCAAACTTGATATTTCGATTAACACTTTTCTGGATGTGAAGGAGTTCGATAAGAGAGCAAGTTTTGGCTTCATTGTTGCCGAATTCAACAGGGACTTGTTATTTTTCAGTCTCAGGAGAAGCTAATTTGAATGTAACTATATCCTTTGACAAGTTTATGCTCTAACTAGCTAGTGTGCAGTTTTTTTTTTTTTTTACTTAATTAAACTCCTAACTAGGTACAGAGTGCAAAAATATATTTCTTTTCTTGACCAACCATAATATTTACTTTGCAGGAGCATCGAGCAGAGTTGGAAAACTAGACCAACCATAATTTTTGTTGAATTATCAATCTCAGGCCATGAAAGGTTCTTTCTATGACTTCTAAGTATCTCTAAAAACGTTTGTTGATGCTTCCGAAGAGTTAAAGCTCTTAGATGATAATGGAGAGCTTGGAAATAAACTCATTGTCTGTCATTTATATACTACTTTCTAAGTTTGAGTTTAATTTTCCTAAAGGTCTTGGTTTTGCTCATTTATGTTTGTTTAGTACATACAAGTGAGAAGGAAGGTGTTTAGGAGAAGGAGCTTGCATGTGGCTGCAGGAGCTTAAGTGGTAAGACGTTTTTTCAAGTTTTAAACTCCCTATTAGCTTAATTCTATGGCTATCATGATTATGTCCATGCTAACCAAGTACGTAGTATACATATGTGTATGTTTGGTAGATGTATTCCCATGTGTCGATTTCTTTTTTCATCTTAGTGAATAAGAGTTCTAAGATGGTCTTTTGTCTTCTTGTTCTTTTGTCATTTACTTGAAACCTCTTTATTTTACTAGCTTATGGTTCTTGTTTCAGTTGTGTTATCTTAATCATGACGTGACTCAATAGTTCTTCATGAAGTGTCGTCACTCAAAAATCTTTTGTTTCATGTAGCCTATGGACGGGAGTTCTAATAGGAACAATTGATGAGGAGGTGAAATAGATAGAGGGGAAGAAATTGAAGAGATTGAAGTTTGTCTCTTTCCTTATGATGTTAGTATAAGACTTGGTGTTATGTAAGACTTGTTTGACTAATTAGTTAATGTAATATTATTTGTTGATGATTTATAAAATAGAAAAGTTATATATATGTCCAATTAAGTAAATTTTATAAAATTGGATTCCAATATAAAATTTATTTTATAAAATAAATTAATTTATATAACGAAAATATGTTACGACAGTATATAAAACAGCACTAAACATGTGTAATAACAAAGTATATTATAGCATTCGACTAATGCTATTATACGAAAATGCTATCGTAAGTGGGGGTCTACCGTAGGGTGCTAAAAACGCTATCGTATGTGGGGGTCTACCATAACAGGGGCATAAGACAGCGTTTATGAAAACGCTATTGATGACATATAATAGCTCTTCTCTCTTGCTAATAATGTACATATTTCTTGTAGTGTCTTTTGACTAATTAACATAAAACCAAAAACAAAAGTTACTTGTAAGATTAATTTTGAAAAACGTGTTCTTAGGTTAGCTAAGGAGAGGGCCATGCAGATATATATGCGCCAAATGAATCATAAGCGGTGGGCATATTTATGTCTGTCCTTTTTATGGCTTATGAAACAAATTTAAAGTTATATATTGTGCATGAAACTTAGGCTACGTTTCCCCTCTATTTTCCATTCATTTTGAACTCAACATTTGCAAGCATTGACCACACTTCTTCTAACTGTTGTGATTCGTTTATTCTAGCGCACTTCAGAGATTGAGGCTAGTATAAGTATTCTAGAGTACATATACATACGTCTCAAACTTTTATTGTATAAACATAACAGTATTTCAACCGCGAACAGAAGATGGATTAGAGCAACTCATGGAAAAGATTAATCGGAGATGAAAAATGTTTGTTACGTACAGTGATCAATCCACAATGATTTGAAAGTAGGACAAGTAGGTGCATTGCCGTAGTATAAGATTGAGGCTAGTATCAATCTTATATATAATACAATATGCTATAGTAGCCCAAACATTATAGGAGGTGGAACTAAAAACAAACAAAAATTAGCGAGAGGAGATCTCCAATTTACAATAATTGAATCAACCAAAGCCTAACCTAACATAAAAACAATATCTTGGATTCAAATCCAAAGCTTGGAACGTAACGTAACATGAAGCCACACAAAGCGAACAACATCCTAGTATATATAGGTTGGGTCCCTTCCAGCCATCTTTATTAATGATCATTAGGTATGTTCATATATAGTCGGTATAAATATATAGGGTCCGCACAAACTGGTACACTTTATTAATGGCAAACATAGTGGTACGAATTGATAGTAATTAAGTGTGTTTTGGATCAATAGCAAGTTTTTTGGGGTTTTCAAAGATTATGTGTCTATGAGTTCTCTAGTTCAACTCTCACTCACGAGAAAGACAAATGAAAGAACATACTGTACTAGTTTCTGTCTAAAAGTACTCCTTGATTAACCTTTAGAAAATTGATGTTATGATTAAACAAAAAAATTGTTTCTCTATCTGACCCTATAACCTTTTTCACGGGCTCATTGAATAATTACATATCTTTTAGTACATTTTATACCAAGACGGTATTACCAATCAAAACCATAATCATCTTGAATCCTTAAAAACAATAAACTAAAACCAATCCAAATATAATATAATGTTAAGATTATAAGAATTCCTAACCTATATAATCTTCAAATTTTACTTATAAAATCTGTATACGTAAATCAGTTTTGAACAAAAATGAATCATTAGTCCCATATTTTTTTAAAAAGACACAATAATCTCGAAATTTTGCATATCTGCAATTTTGCACCTACGTATAATGTTTCCTAGAGGAAAATAAGAAGATAAAATAATGGGGAAGGGAAGCTACTGCTACACTTTCAGGCACGTGACAACGTCCCACACGTGTCATATTTCTTACGTCATCAAGTCCTTTTTTCTCTCTTTACTTCTCTGTTTACCTCTCTCACGCGTTGAAAAGTGCAATCAAGTAACCACAGTTAAAAGATAAAAATAAAAAGTCTCTGTAACGTCTTTTTACTGTTATAACCTCACACGCATAAATACCACTCACCAACTCTCACGCCTCTCTCTAAAAACTCAACACTTCTTCTTCTTCCTTCTCTCTCAAACTTCTGAAAAAACTTCTTCTTCGTCTTCCCAATTATAAACCCTAAATATTCATATCTGCAGATCCAAATTAATGTCCGTTCAAAGATACTCTGTTCTGTTTCATCTTTGTCATTAGTCTTCTGCTTTCAGATTCCAAATTTTTTTCTTGAATTTATCTCTTAGCCGTTTCTTGATTTCACTTCGATTTTCCGGCGATGTTACGAGAATCAGACGGTGAGATGAGTTTAGGAACAACAAACTCACCGATAAGCAGTGGAACAGAGAGTTGCAGTAGTTTCAGCCGGTTATCATTCGACGCGCCGCCGTCAACCACCGCGATTATCCCCGAAGAAGAAAGCTTCCTATCTCTCAAACCTCACCGATCTTCAGATTTCGCTTACGCAGAGATCCGACGACGAAAAAAACACGGTCTAACTTTCCGAGATTTTCGCCTCATGCGTCGAATCGGTGCCGGAGACATCGGAACAGTTTACTTATGCCGTCTCGCCGGAGACGAAGAAGAGAGCCGGAGTTCGTATTTCGCTATGAAAGTCGTGGATAAAGAAGCTCTTGCGTTGAAGAAGAAGATGCATAGAGCAGAGATGGAGAAAACGATTTTGAAAATGCTTGACCATCCATTTTTGCCGACTCTTTACGCTGAGTTTGAAGCGTCACATTTCTCTTGCATCGTTATGGAGTATTGCTCCGGCGGTGATTTACACTCTCTCCGTCATAGACAGCCTACCCGGAGATTCTCCCTCTCATCCGCCAGGTAAAAATAACAATTTTTAAAAATTATTTTATATATTGGCCAAAGTGAGATTTTTCAAAAAAAAATTAATAGTAAAAAAAGAATCATCATAATATGAGTTTTTTTTTTTTTTTTTGGTTGCATGCATTGACTCTGTTACATAATTTGTTATCTTGTTCTGCAAGAACAGACCTGTTCTTATCATGTCGGTCTTTTCCAGTTCTTTGAATTGTTATCAAAGAGTCTTTTCCAGCCCATCACAATAATTATGATTTTATTAGCTAAATATATTTCCTTAATTACATGTTATAATTGAATTTTTTGTTTTTGATTACAGATTTTACGCAGCCGAAGTTCTAGTGGCGTTAGAATATCTACACATGTTGGGTATCATCTACAGAGATCTGAAGCCTGAAAATATCTTAGTTAGATCGGATGGTCACATTATGCTCTCTGACTTTGACCTCTCCTTATGCTCCGACTCAATCGCAGCCGTTGAATCTACCTCATCGTCGCCGGAGAATCACCAACTCCGTTCACCGCGACGACTCACTCGTCTCGCTAGACTTTTCCATCGAGTCATGCGGTCTAAAAAGGTTCAGACTTTAGAACCAAACCGTCTCTTTGTTGCTGAACCGGTTACCGCCCGGTCCGGTTCGTTCGTTGGTACGCATGAATACGTGGCACCAGAAGTTGCTTCAGGTGGATCACATGGTAATGCCGTTGACTGGTGGGCCTTTGGAGTGTTTCTCTACGAGATGATATACGGCAAGACTCCGTTCGTTGCGCCGACTAATGACGTCATCCTCCGTAACATTGTGAAAAGACAGTTGAGTTTCCCGACTGATTCGCCGGCGACTATGTTTGAGCTTCACGCGCGGAATTTGATTTCCGGGTTGCTTACCAAAGATCCGACTAAAAGACTCGGGTCTCGGCGTGGTGCGGCGGAGGTTAAAGTACATCCTTTCTTCAAAGGTCTAAATTTTGCGCTCATACGTACACTTACTCCGCCGGAGATTCCTTCGTCCGTCGTCAAGAAGCCGATGAAATCAGCGAGGTTCGGTGGTAGGAGTAGTAACAAACCAGCGGCGTTCGATTACTTTTGATAATTAACGGTCGAGATAACGCCACGTGTTAGTCGGTTCAGGTCGGTGCCAGATTTTTGGTGACTGCCTTGTGACGATAGCTGTACATATTCTTTCGAAGCTGTCCTTTTTTTCTTAATTTTTTCCAGTCCTTAATTTTAAATTTCGTTAATGACATATATTAAAAACTTAGGTGACTTTTATAGCAATTTGTACAACAGACAGATTAATCTAAACTAATCTATTTATAATTAGCATTATCAACTCTTCGGAACTTGGGAACATCTATTTAACACTCTAACGATAGTTAATAGTATGGCATTATATAATTGACCAACTTGGTCAAACATTTCTTACCTGTTTGAATAAACTTCTTTTCACCGCAATTGTTAAAATATTGAATGCGAAAAAAACGAATTACTTTATATTAAAACTCGTCACGCCTAGACTTTGTAGTTCGACGGGTATAGAAAAAGAAAAGAAGATTCCTCTTTTGACAATTGTAACATATGAAGTCATATTTGCTCTTTGTTTAACATCTACGAGTCTTTAGAATGTCAAAAAAGGGAGAAAAAAACCTTATCCATAAGGGTAGGAATCTGCCTTTTTAGATCCGACCAGTTGCATGATCTCTTCTGATTCGATTCCTTCTCTTCAGTTTCAACTCAAGCGAACAATAAACTATAGACGGCAAGACGAAATTGTTTTCTTGATATAGCGTATGAAACGCATTCTTATATAAGTAAATTCGTTTAAGCTTTATATAAAGTGGTATCATAACATCGATTTCATTAGTTACATACACTTGACCACATATATCATAGATTTTAAATGTCATTTTAAATTATTCAATTATTTTGAAAACATATATATACAAAATATGGCCACTAAACAAATACTTATATGTTTAGTGGGTTGGGTTATAACACTATCATAAGACTTTAATACAATTTGTCTTGGTATTAAAACATACTCCACTTTTTATGCAATAAGAATTTAGGAGCTAAATTTGGGATTGACCAAAGATATCCACATCGAATTGTTAGTTCACAATATGTATTTAAGAAGGAAAAAAAACGTCGATGTAATGAAACGGATAATGCATTTTAAAGTGAAGTTAAGCAAGTAGGTGAATAATTCAGCTGAAAATTTTGGGCATGTTTGAAGCAT